TTTATTTATTTTTATATACTTAATTTGTTAATTCTATAAGCGTAATGGCTCCCTATTTTAGCTGCATCTGTTTTATAATTTATTGCTTTGTTAATATGTTTAGTGATGAATATGGATTCTATTACTTTTTAGTGTGAACTATTTGTTTCTTTATGTAATATTTGAGGTTATGTTAAATTGAATGTATGTCTATTTACAATACTATGGTGTGCTAGGGCTGTTTTATCGTCTATTTTACTATGTTTTGAATCATTAAAATGTTGGTTCATTCTTTTTTCTATGATTTCAATTGTTACAATTCATCTTGTAAACAATATTTTTTTGCTTTAACTTATTTATTTTAGGTATATAAATAAAAACTAAGTAACATCTTTACTCTCCCAACAATTTTTTCTTTATTTTTATGACGTTTTGTGATTACTTTATTATTCCATCTTCAGACCATATTTTTTTAAAAACATAAGGTGATAGAAGGATGAGATACAGTCTGAAGATGGAATAATAAAGTGATCCCAAAACGTCATAAAAGTAAAGAAAAAATTGTTGGGAGAGCAAAGCTGTTACTTAATTTTTATTTATATACCTCAGATAAAAAGCATCTCCCTTAGGGCTTATGAAAAAATTATTTATTTTATCTTTCATCTGACTTAGATGGTTATTTATTTTGTTTTGATTATATAACCCTGTATTTATCTCACAATTATTTTCATTAAATATTTTTTAAATTTTATGTGATATAGTAGGGATATAATTAAACCTGTTATATATTTTTATTTGTTTTCCAGTTTATGATTATTGTTTGTTGCCTTGTTGTTTTCTGCCACTATAGTATTCTTGGAGGTAAAAAAATCTTGTATGGATTTTTGGCTAGTTTTTATTTTGTTTTGGATTTTTTTATGGATTACTGGTTGCAAGTTTTGATTAATTGCTATTTTTTGAAAGTCTTTTTTTTGTATTTTATATTTGTTTATTAACGTGAAACCCTTTTTTTTTTTTAATGATTGGTTTAGGGATCATATTTACAATCAAAATATTATAATTTTTTGAGAAGGAGTTAGTCGAGGTAGCGGCCAAATAAATAAAAAAAATTAAAATATATAATTTTTTTTAATATTTGCCGACGTTTCGACCCACTTTGCAGGTCGTCTTCAGGGCGTAGGATGTGGCACTGCGGGAGGCAGTTGAAACACTGCTGTTTTTCGGCAGTGTTTCAACTGCCTCCCGCAGTGCCACATCCTACGCCCTGAAGACGACCTGCAAAGTGGGTCGAAACGTCGGCAAAAATTAAAATAATTTATATATTTTAATTTTTTTTATTTATTTGACTGCACCCTCGACTAACTCCTTCTCATATTATATCAACGGTCAACCATCTCTACATCATTATAATTTTTTGTTTTTATTTCTTTTATGTATTTATCAACTGTATTTTTACAAGCTATACCATTAAATTTTTTTCTGTGTTTATTATTTGATATTTTGGATGTTGGCTATGGACATGTAGTAGTTTTTTTAAATTATCATTAAGTCTAAAAATTTTAACTTGCCATTTATAGGTTTTTCTATTCTGAATATTATTCTTTTGCTATAGCCATTAAGTATATCCAGCAAGCCTTTAAATTGATCTATTTCAGTTATGATCTATTCTAGTTAAATAAGTCATCTATATATTTATTTATGCAGACTGGTTTAATTATTATTTTGTCATATGATTTATTTATTAATTCATTCATATATATACCACTTAAATTGACACTTTTTGGTCCATTTTGTGTTAAAAGAATTATCATTAAATATATTTTTGATATTAGATATTTTGATTGTTGGCTATGAAAAACAAAACAAAATAAAATAACCATCTAAATCAGATTAAAGATAAAATAAATAAGTTAAAGCAAAAAGATATTTACAAAGTGGATTGTAACAATGTATATATATTACCTAAATTTAGACAATAAAATAAATAGAACACTGGATTCCCAGATGAATAATCTGAAAATACCAAAACCATTACAAAATAATAAAATCATAGATCATAACATAACTTCCATAAAAACTAATAATTTAAAAACTCCTATTTTGGTGAATGGTAATAATAATAGGATAAATTCAATGGAAAAAACTATAGAAGAATACAACTCACTACATACTAAAAATAGAGTAATTTATCTGACTAAAATAGAAATACCTATAAAAATAATCAACTTGTTATCACTTGGTGAAAATTCCTGTATGAATTTTGAACAAAATAATAAAGCAATAAGTAGGAAAATAGTAAAATTAATAGCAGATATTGAAAAAATACTTACCAGTGAAATTATTACAGGTAATCATATAAATTGTATAAGAAATTATATTTTTTATTTTATTTCTTAATGACATTTACAACTGTATTACATAAATACATCTAGTAAATTTGGCCATAATAGATATAATGACATGAATACACTTGCTGAGTAACTACCCAATGGTAGCACTCTAAAAAAAATTATATTAATCTTGAAATCAATAATTATTTAAATAGAAGTGAACATAAAACTGAAAATAATAAATTTATGAAAATTATAAATAATGGCTTAAGATTTTTTAACAACTTTAGCAAATACCACAAAGATATATGTTTCATAAAATCAGATAAAACAAAACGAATAGCCATTATGTATGTCAAAGAATATAATAAAAAAAATGTCAGTCTTACTAAATGATAATACTTACCGGAAATTAAGAATAGACCCACGGCCTAAATTATCAAATGAAATCAAGGAATATATAAATACAATATATAAAAAAGGATACATAACAAAAAATCAATTGACACCTAATAATTATATAATCCCCAGCATACATGGTATTATCAAATTACATAAAGAAAATATAAATTTAAGACCTATTTTAAATAAGATATAAGGACCAACTAACAAATTATCTAAATTTTAAAAAAAAACTCATAAAAATTTAAATAAAAATAATAATTATGATGTAAAAAATTCAATTGAAATGAATGATATATTAAGTAAACTTAAATAATATAATAATAAACAAGACGACATGATAAGTTTTGATGTCCAGAGTCTTTTCACAAATATAAGAACAGATTTATGCATAAAAATAATAAATGATAAATCCAAAGAAATAGAACCTTATACTCCTGTCAAAAATAAAAAAATATACATTGAAGGCATAAAATTATGTATAAATAATTGCTACTTTACATACAAAAATAACATGTACAAAATGACATATGGAATACCGATGGGATCAAATTTAAGTGGTATATATATGAATGTAAAGCTATTACTTAATTTTTATTTATATACCTAAAATAAATAAGTTAAAGCAAAAAGATGTTGTTTACAAGGAGGATTGTAACAATTGCGAATCGACATATATACGAGAAAAATCATTGAAAAAAGAATTAACCAACATTTTAATGATTCATAACATAGTAAAATAGACAATAAAACAGTCCTATACCACCATAATATTGTAAATAGACATAAATTCAATTTAACATAACCTCAAATATTACATAAAGAAACAAATAGTTCACACAGAAAAATAATAGAACCCATATTCATCACTAAACATATTAACAAAGCAATAAATTATAAAACAGATGCAGCTAAAATAGGGAGCCATTACGCTTATAGAATTAACAAATTAAGTATATAAAAATAAATAAAACTGCTTGGAGTTTTGGAAACCTGACCCTTGGTTCAGTGTCTGACTAGGTTCTCCCTAGAAGAGTCCACAATATAATTGAGGTAAATAAATTCATTATAGAAACTTGCTATTTATATAAAAATAATAATAATATAACACATAAAAGCTTGGAATAACCTTCGATCAAACGCTTTCCTGGAAAAACTATGTATCCAATATTTCCTGCCGTACCATTTCCACTCTAAAACGTCTAAATTATTATCGTCACCTATTTCCATTTGAAACCCGTTGGCTCCTAGTCACTTCCTTAATTTCCCCCCAATTTGACTACTGCTGTTTGGTATATGGGGGCATCTCTGGGGATCTCGAGGGGAAACTAAAACGTTTGATAAATTGCTTTGTACGATTCATCTTCGGGATACCAAGGGATGCCTACCGTCGTAAATATGTCCTAGTATCATTGCTCTTTCAAGTTATCCAGTGCCCCTCATACATCTCCGAGCTCCTTCAATTCAAATCTCTGTTCGTTCCGGCAATACTCATTCCCGGTCTCCTGATTTATACATAAGGGGGATTTATATGACAATTAAAATATTTTACTGGCAAAATAGGACTTGCTTTTACAAGTTTTAAAGCCAAAAAAAAAAAATATATATATATATGGTGAATTAGGGAAAAAGTGGGTTTAAATGCAGAAGTTCTTGGTGACATTAGTGTTAATCTAATATTTTCATTACTACTATTAAAAATAGTTTAGTCCTCTATTTACAGCACATTCCCCCTTAATATTTTATATTCACTATTCTATGCTATTTTATATTGACATCTTGACACATTTATTTATTGGTTGACTGTAACTATAAATTGGAAGTTTATAGTATTTGTTTAGTTAGTTAATCACTCTCTTATTTTAAGTCATCATAAGTTTCTTATCCTAAAAATCATGACTAAGATCACTCATATCTCTATCTAGATTGCATGGCATCGCTTAATTTTGTATTTTACCTTTTTTATTATTATTTTTTTTCTCAAATTTTTAAGTTATATTATACAGATAGCTTTGGAACACACTGCAGCTTTAATCAATTTTATCGTAGTTACTGATATAGATTACTCTATTATTTATGTGGTAAACTTTGAAAAGAGCCATCTTTTCATCTACTAGGTCTAAATCAAAAGGTTTACCAAATACTATAAAAAAAAAAAATTAACAGTAATTATCTCAAGAAATATTATATAATAGAATAGTATTAGTGTTTAAACACCCTAATGACCTTTGATATTTATAGAGCTTTGTCATTTACTTGAAGCTGATTTTTTATTCTTTTTTTTTTTAGACTTGAAGGAGAGGCAGTAGCTAATTTATTGGAAAAGCAAGCAGATCTCATTTGTTATTACAAGTCTACAATAATTGACCTGAAAAGTAAATTGAACGAACCACAAACTTGTCACTAGGATTATAAGAAATAATTAATAATGTTTAAATCGTGGAAAAGATTTAATAATTTGGTCTTTTTTTATGTTTTTAGCTTTATTTATTGAATTCTGATTACTCATGGTAGGGAAATTCGAATTATTATAATATTTGTCTAACCTATTTTTCTATGATTGTTAAAGTTATAGAATTAAAACTTATGACAGTTGCCATTTTTATCAGTGAATTGATTTGAAGTAGCAGAAACAGTGAAAGTGTGTGTTAAGAGTAGTATTTAAAAAATACTAAATAAATAATTTATTTATTATTCCTGTTTTTAAGGTCTATTAATACTAATATATATATATATATATATATATATATATATATATATATATATATATATATATACATATATACATACATACATACATACATATATATATATATATATATATACATATATACATACATACATACATACATACACACTTATACCTTCAAACAATGGTTTTAGTCATGCTATAGCTGGTTTCTTAGAAGGATTTAAGACTTCTTCATAGACTTTCCACTTTTGAAAATAAATAGGTAGAATGAAATATGTATTTTTGCAAAATCTTGCAGTTAAAAACATATCACAATGTGCAATGTAAAAAAAAAAAGAAAGCATCCTTGGTAGTGCTATAAAATATTTGTGTATGATTTGTCCAGAGTAACAGTTTTTTTTTGTACAGTGGATTGGTGGAGGGGAACAAGAGAATTGTATGAATAAGTGTAGCATTGGATGCTATATTTTTAAAACCAATTTAGTAGATGTTTTTAATATTCACCATGATTTTTTTCTAAGGCCTTGAGAGGTTGTTAACTTAGCTTTGTCTGAATAATTGAGTAGGTACTCAAATAATGAAGTTGCAGTTTGGTCTCTAAGTTCTGAAATTGAGACTGTGGGAAATTTTGAATCACTGACCATCTTTCATATAAGACTAAATTTTTTTGATTTATTTGATATGACTTATCCATGGAAAGTCATTTGATACCATGCATTAATTTATGTAACAAAGCTCACATAAGGTAACTGTTTATATTATAAATTATTATTATGGATCAGTGATATTTTTAAGAAAAGTTTGAAATCTATTTTAGATAGAGAAGAAGCATTTCTTCATTGTCTATTAGTAACAGGAGCTAAATGTTCTAATAAAGTAAGATCTGGTAAATTCAATGGATCAATTTTATTTTATTTGTTCTGATTAATGATACTGTTATATTTTAAAATTGAAGCAATTTTGTTAACTTTAGAATAAAAGATATTGTCGAATACAATTTTTTATTGTTAAATATGATATATCTGTTATATTTATAATAAAAGTGAATAATAAACTTTTTTGTACACTTTCGCATATAAACATAATGAACCTCTTAAATTTAGTTTTGTGCTAGCTAACTACTATTAACTACTACTACTATTACTAATTACTATTAACTACTTAGGTTGTGGAGTGTCAGGGGTTAGTTTAAGCAGCTAATATAGTATTTTCTAAAAATAGTCTACTCTTGCTATTTTCAAGAGATGCTTATTTTTTTTGTAAAGTTTTATTTCGGGGTTTATTACCTCTGGTAACAATATTGAAGGGGGAACTAGTCAAGTAAGTGGGTCTGTTTTCCAACCACTGAGAGAAACATGACTGCTTCGGAGTATGAAGTGACAAGATTCATTTTGTAGGACCATCACAAAATAAATATTGAACCGATGCTCAGAGCAGGGAGTTCTAGGTTCTTCATATTCAGACTGATCTTTTCTTTTCATCTTATGTTTTCTAGTGTGTGTGTGTATGTGTTAGATTGCTTCATTGCATGCAAAAGCTTCCAGATGGGTTGTTCTGAGCTACATGCCTTGTCCATCTTAACTTTTTTACCTTCATATCATGAGATATTAATTGACCAGTTTCTATAAGCAGTTCTTTATTGGTCTTTCTTCTTCAAATGTTAATATTCTGATTCCTGATCACTCCAGTTATTGTGCAGAGAATTTTTTTCTTAAATCTTTCAATACTTCTTTCTAGGGTGCTGGTTAGGGTCCAGGTCTCTCTGCTCTATATGAGAACTGGCTTTATCATAGCATTGTATGATTTGAGATTTTTAGGGATTTAAATATCTTTGAAAAAGAAAATAAAGCTCTGTTTGCACTTGTTAGACACTGGTCTGTTTCCGACCGTTGATTATTGAGTTTATTGTATGACGGAGGTATTTGAATTTGCCTATTGTTGGAAACAATTTCCCTTCTACATAGATCCATAATTCATATAACATAAATTTCATCTTGACAAATTAATTTTTTTATGTTGAAAAATTATAAAAAATGAACCAATTTAAGTTTGATGACAAATGATGAAATAGAGTTGCATTTGCTTCTGAAACTTATGGAATTCATAATTCATACATCATACATTTAACTATCTTTTTTTTTTTAATATGGTTTATCTGGTCATAATAGTTATTATTATGTTTACTTCAGTGCCACAGGTATAAAGAAACATAAACAAATATTAATTCCAAAGGATCTCAAGTCAACGGTGGTTGATGTAGACATCTCAATGAAGGTTTTTGAACATTTTAAAAGAATTTGAAGGAAACGAAAAATTTGCAGTGGAGCAAATGCACAGAATTACTCTGGAACTTCCAAAATTACTTAAAATTTAAAATGGTTCCTGATGAACAAAATAAATGTTTTTTTGCTCACTCCACACACATTTCTATCTTCTAAAAAAAGTTAGCCAAATCCAGCCTCAATGTACATGTTTTTCATTACTTCAATTAGCTTTAGCTACTTAAAATTTATTTTACCTCTATAAAAATATGGTCCTGGATAGCTTAGACCTGCAGCTGTTGAAATTGTATGAATGGAAAATGGTCAGGGTGTGTAGTCAAAAAATTGTGTTTATTGAATAAGCTAAAGTTTCATAAAACAAAAACATAATTTTTAAAAAAGAAATAATTTTAAAAATAAAAAATGCGTTCTGTTCTCTAAAAACTAAAAAGCAGTTGAGTAGACATAAAGAAAGATATTATAACAATTCAGTAAAAACATAAATTATTGGTTATCCAAATCCATCCTCATTTGTACAAGTTTTTCAATTCTTCAATTTTACTCCTAAGCTTACAATTTATTTTAGTGACCTGAAAATCTGTTTCTGGATAACTTAAATCTGTTGCTTTGAGTGAGTGTTGGTAGTTTTAAGTCCAGAGAAAAACATAAAAAAATAGTATTATGTCCACTTTATCGCCATTTGGGACCACATTGTGCCAGGACACTTGTCCAATATATGTTTTTAGTAAAATTTTATTTTCTTAGCCTAAAAATTAATTTATTTAGTATGTGTTTTAAATTTTAGTAACTCTTTAAGTCAATCTTTCATCTTAATTTTTACAGTTTGAAATCGGTTCTCAAATCTTAGAACTGTTTGGGTTTAAAATTATTGGGGAATGTAAAACCTTCCACTATCATCTCTCTAGTCGTCTTTGTCCTCAATCCAACTTGCCTGTAAATGTAATAAATTTGGAAAAATAAATAAATAATAAAATAATAGAAGAATAAAAATAAAAGCATAATTCTCAACAGAGCTCAAACTTATGTAATTTTTTTTTAAAATTATAATTTCCAGAAAAAATCTGGTAAAAACATCATAAAACTCAACAACATTAGCTATTTTGAAATAAGGATATTTCTTAATGGAGAATGTAGATTTTAAAAACAAAATAATATTTATGCTTAAATCTTTCGTTTTATATTTTTTAAATGTTATAAATCTATATATTTAAAAATTTATTAAGTTATATTTTGTTTAAAACTTTCTAATCTTCAAAATTTTCGCCCAATTTTCATTCAGATTCTTTATAAATTAAAAACAATATCGATATCCATTTACTTTTTGTTTTATTCGATTCAGAATAAGAAAATACATACAACATGACCCCTATTTGAACTTTATAGTCGTATGTATAAGATGGGCGAAGTTTTTTTTTTTCTCTGAAGATAATGTGTTTTGTACGTCGGATGTAAAAAAAAAATACAGCGTGTGTCTAAGACCACACAATAGAAGTAAAAACATCAAAAGGTGGGATTAATAATATGAAATATGGATTTTTTTTTTTTCTTTATCTACAAAGTAAAATTATAAAAATATCTATACAGCTCAAAAATGAATAGGGATATTTCTGTTTCATGCTTATTTTATTCCCTTTAATTAAAATATCCTATATATATATATATATATATATATATATATATATATATATATATATATATACAAATTTTTTGTTGGTAAACATAAAAAGAAAATAATATGTATTATTTAATAATAATAATAATAAAAGGCTTAGCGAACCCGAAGGTTCGATAACGACACCACCAATCGCTTATTACATACCTCCCTCCACCGTTCGCCGTCCAAACCCAGTCCCTTCAGATCGGCTTTAATGCAATCTTCCCACCTTCGCTTCGGTCTACCCCTCGGACGCTTACCATTCGGCACAGCAAATATTAACCTTTTAGGAATTCTCTCGCTACTAAGCCCAACAACTTTACAAGCCCATTTGATTCGCCGCGATGAAATTACCTCAATTATATTATCCGGATACAGTTCACGCAATTCGGCGTTGTGTAACCGTTTGAACTTTCCGGTTAACTCATCCTTCTTCGGTCCGAATATTCTACGCAAAACTTTATTTTCAAAAACTTTAAGACGCTGCTCATCCCTTAAAGTAAGCGGCCAATTTTCACATCCATAAAGAACTGTAGGCAAGGTAATTGTTTTATAGATTCTAATTTTTAAGTTAAGGGACAAGAGGCGCGAACTAAGTAGTTTTGTCACAGAAAAATAACAAGCATTTCCCGCCTTTAGTCTAACCTTAATCTCTTCTTCAATTTCGTTTTTTCTAGTTATCGTAGAACCTAGATACCTAAATTTCTCTACCTGTTCAAACATATTACCATCTATATCGATATCACCAGTAGTATCGCCATTTTTGCAGCTAACCATGTATTTTGTCTTATCCGTATTTATTTCGAGCCCTAGTTCTTTACTGGCTTTCATTAACGTTGTCGTATTTAGTTTTATAGTATCAACGTCTTCGCTTAACAGTACCAGATCATCAGCATAGCCCAGCACGGATGTTGTCCCGCCCAGATCCAACTCTTTCTCGGTAGGCATTACCTCCCTAATGGAATGTTCTAATGCCAAATTGAGTGTCTCCGTCAAGCACATCCTGACTAGATTTACTAATTTTT